GCCGATGCGGGGACACGGGGGGTGGGACTCGCGCCCCGGAGAGCGCCCCGGAGGCCTCGGGGCGGGAGGGCGCGGCCCCCAGGCCGCCTGTGGCTGCAATGTCTGGGGGTGACAGTTACTGATCATGGGGCTCAGGGTACGGTCTATCCCATGTGCACCCCCCGATCCGTGTCTCCTGCTGCCCTTCCACTCTGCGAGGCCACGAGAGCTGTGACCCCCCCAGCGAGGTGACCTTGGACGTGGACAGAAGTCCTCACGGCTCCTCAGGGCCGCCGGGCGGGCAGCGGTGGCTCCCGGCTCGTGGTCCGGCCTGTCGGGGGGCTCGGAGCCCCGCAGAGGCAGCTGCCCCCGCGCCGTGGCCGACGTCCGCTTCTGCAGGCCCCAGCGCGGATCTGTGTCGCGGACCCCCCGCCGCAGGGTGCTGGGTCCGCCGGCCCCACCCTCCTCTCTAAGGTTGTGTTTCATAGCGGATAAATCACAATAAAAGCTTTCCCGGTAACTCTTCGCTCTTTGTGGATTTGCCCTATCACACGACACCTGCCGCGGTGGCCCGTAAGATTTAGGGTTCCCGGGGCTCTCCGTGCGGTGTGGCCCCCACTCCGCGTCCCCAGAGCCCCCCACCCCCACTCTGCTCCCGCCATCGCGGGGTTCCGCTGCGGCGGGTCCCTGGGCCCTACGCGGGACGACCTCCGTGGCGCTGTCCTGCCGCTCACCGCGTCCCCCACCCCCGCGGCCCCCAGGTGCCCCTCTCAGGACGAGCGGCCCGGCCACGGCCTCCTCCCCACACTGTGGTGGCCGTGAGGCTGGGCCTTGGCGCCCTCAGGGCTGCGTGGCCGGACACAACAGGCGCCCACCGGGGTCAGCACCTCATGGGCATCGCGGGGGCCGGTGGACCGCGGTGGGCAGAGCAGGCCTGGGAGGGCCGGCCTGTGGGGGCAGGGCCGTGTCCGGCTGCGTGGCCAGCCCTGAGGGCTGGGGCTCCGGGCAGCACAGGCGTGGGGGCTCTCTGCTCCCGGCTGCGGGGTCCGCCCTGGGCAGGATGGGGGCTGGCCCAGGAGCCCCGGCGCCCCTGGGGTCAGGCCTGTGCTCGCTGCTGCTCACTGACCGCAGTGATGGGCCATAGGAAGCAGTGCCCCTCAGGGGTCCTCCCTGGAGACACGAGCATCCCGCTTCCCTGGGCCCGGGCCCGGGGCTGCTCGGTGTCCAGCCTCCGCCGCGGGGTCTCCTGCAAGGCCCAGGGGCTTCTGCCCTTTCCCCGGTCACGTAGCGCTGCAATGTGATGACGGATTTTGCTGCCCACTCTGGAACCTGCGGAACTCGGGGTGGCACGCCACATGGGGGCTGCCCGCCGCTTCCTCCCCGCGGCCCCCGGAGAGTGTTCTCACCCTCCAGCGGCTCAGGCCTCTCGGGGCCGGGACCCGCCCAGGGACGGGATCCCCTGCTCGTCCAGGAGGGGCCTCGACCAGGCCGCCGGGGCAGGCCGCGGGCAGGCTCGGGCACTCGGTCGCCCCCTCACCCTAAGTCGCCGAGCTGCGCCGCCCGCAGGGACCTGCTCACCCAGTGAGACAGTCACGGAGACGGACGAGGCTGCCCAGCCTGGGGGCTGCGCCCCCACCGTGAAGCGGCTGTGAGGCCTGAGCCGGCGCCTCGCGGTACCTGAGCTGCGCTGTGGTTTCTGCAATTAGGGGTGGGGAGTGCACTCTCCACTGAGAAGCGTCTAGAGAGGACCAGGACGGCGCCGCTCAGCTCCCCGGGGATGAGCGCTCCTCTGAGAGACACGTGACGAGGAGCATAAGAGCAGGGATCCCCGCACCGGCCCGGCCTGCGGGCA